CATCATTTGCTTTGTATATTATTATTATCATTATTACATTACTATTATTATCATTATTTTATTTCAATTATTAAACTGTTTTTATCTCAACCCACGAGTTTTCTCACTTCTACTCTTCCAACTCTCTCCCGCATCCCACGGGGGGGGCAGGGAGGGGGGAGCGAGCGAGCAGCTGTATGGTGCTCAGTTGCTGACTGAGGTTAAACCACGACACTTTCCAAAGCAAGCTCATTGAATGCCTGCATCACACTTGCTTGTGCTTCCCTTAAGAGAATGTTCTGCTTTCTGAACCCCACTCCCTGTGCTGCGGCTGGAGTCACACAAACAAGAATAAACCCCTCAGCTAATGCCTTTTAGAAAGGCACAGCAGGGAGCTAATGGGCAGCCCCACTTCATACAATTTCCACCACACCTAAGTGAAATTCCAGTCATCACAGAAGAAAATACTGCATGGAGGCCAACAAAGATAAAGCGAGCAGATACTTACGTTCTGAAACACTCTCGCATTGCTCCACGGCCAAAAGGCTAGGGAAAAGAAAAAGAAAAAACAAAAACCCAGCATTGCCATTTCCACAAAGTTAATTTCTATCCAGTAAGAGACTCAACCATGTCTTTCCCCTTTATATCCTGCAGAAAGCAGTTCTCAGTCTCTATACAGTATCTGTCTCCTCAAAGAAAAGTGAAAACCCACTGGCAGTGTAAGTAGGAATCTGGGGAAAAGACACTGGGAATAAGCCCCCCCCCAATATCCCATGGAGTAGACATGATATGACTTTTAAAGAAGCTATTTAAATTCTCCCTCCAGTTTAGAGTCAGCTCTGTTGTGACTGCCTAGAGAAGGGTGGCTTCACAGACCTCATGGTCTCCCCATTTAGGCTTCCATACAGGATGTGCCAAACAGAGCATCACCTTGCCAGATGCGAGGTACTACGTCAGTAGCACAGAGCAAGGCAATTCCAACACACCACCAACCCCATGATTTAATTGGGAAGTGACAGTAGCTTCTACCCTCACATACCAAAAACTCAGTCCGTTTTCATCCTAAGAACAGAAGTTATTTGGAAGCACACAAAATAGTAAGGACTATTGCCAGGCAGGGAGATAAGGCCAGCAGGAAATGGGAGGGAGATCACTGGGAAAGGAACAAATGTCTCATGCTGCTGATGGGAAAGGGCTGACTCCATGTTCTACTCTACTCTGGGGAGAAAAGGCTGTTGGGACACCAAAACATAATGGATGAGCCGAGGAAAAAGAGAGGTAGGAGAAAAGAATGACATTGAGACTTCGAAACTTCTATACGAGGAAAACATCTTGCTGCCACTATTCAGTAACAGGAAGAAAATGACAAATTTGGCTGCTAATAAACATGAAGGACAATGATCTTACTTGTGAAGCCATCTTGATGAGAACTTCATCTTCAACCCAGTCCCCAGTAACTGCATTGTACCTGCAAAATCAGGAGATGTGCCTCTTAGAAAAATGCAGAGGGAACCCAAATCCTCCCATCCCCAGTGCCTACCCTTCCTTATCTCTAGCTGACTGCTAAAAAGCGCTGCTGCCACTTCAACACAAAAACTTCTAGTCTTCCCACCACACTCCTGCCCTCCTTACTTTGGGCAGGAAAGGAGAAATATGTATAGCTCTTTGAAGAGACACTGAATCCTACTGACAATGAACAGATTCCACTACAGAAGCTAAACTTTTGCAACGCTACAAATTAGGCTTTATCTGCCTTGACATTAAATCTCCTCCATGATGCACAGGCAGTACACTGGGGGCAGAAAGAGCCTTACCAAGCCTTACACACTGGACAGGTTGTCTCCCCCAACCCTGGGCTTCATAAACCTGGTTCTGGCTGGGGATTTGCTGCAGGGCTGTGGAGGATGTGAGCAGAACGCAGCACCAGCTGCGGCTGTGAAAAGCAGCGGGGCCAAGAACTGCCCAACACTACACCAAGGGAGGAGCAAGTCTCTGCACAACCTTATGGCAATACAAAGAGTACGACTGTGGTTTCTCCCCACCCCCTTAACTCCGAACACAGTAAAAGCCAAATTGAGAACCACAGCAGTTGAGTCACTAACACGTGATTGTTTCCAGCCCGATTTCCCTAACCTGCACCGAGTACTTCATGCACACAGACACCCCCTATGCCCCCTTATATATTCTGTATCACCCTAGTTTGCAGCAGACAAAGGAGGTGGAAATAGGAATATCAGAGCCATCTCTTTTTAATAGGGTAGTAGCCCTAAACCAATATTATCACTTGTATTTTAAAATATGCAACTATTTTAGGACTGTATGGCTGACCAGGGACAGATGCAGTCTATGGAGAAGAGCAGCACTGCGTGACAGTGTTATGTGATTGGAAGGGAGGCCTCCCCAAACACTGACACTAAGTGGTAATTAACTGGCCTCTAACTCCTACCCCTTCCACCTAGAAACCTGTGTCAGTAGGGTAAACGTTTTGGCAAAGCCTGTGCTAAAGCACTGAGAATAGTTTAAGGGCCAAACTCAGTTTCAGCACGTACACCATGCTGAGCTATTCCGGGCTTTATAAGGATTTAAATTCCAGCCACATGCTGCAATACTGCATGGACAGGCAACAGTGAAACTGATATTTTGGGAAAGGCACAGAGTGTTATGTTGCTTTTTTTTCTAAACTATTTAAACTAAGTATGCTGCCTCTTTATTGGGATTCATTTCCTTATTAGATTAAGTTTACAGCATTAATAAATCAACTAGGAAATACTTTTCAGCCTTGTTTCCTGTCTACATAGTGAAACTCATAGATACTACTTAGGTGGGAGAGAGAGAAAGAGTGTGACACTGGTTTGCTGAAAGGTTTATTTTTTGATGATGTGCAGTATTTACATATTCCTGGGAGATTCAGTTAAGACATGCTCACTTTGGGCATTACTGAAAGTTCTTCAGCTATGTAATTACACATATTCTGCACTACACAAACACGGCCCTTGCATAAACCAGCACATTCTGTTTAACATCAGCATTAAAAGCAGAAAGACCCACAGACCTGTAACGAGTGGCTTGTTCCATCTCAATGTCCTCAAGATGAAATTCTGCCCACGGATCAGGCATGTGCTTAGCTTTCTGAATAGCATGTTTCCAGGTTTCCTGAAGAAGTTACAAACTGGCAGGTTATTTATAATCAGCAGCAACTCACAACAACGGCATTTTCTAGAGCACATCAGGATCCTAATGCTATGAAGACGTGCAACTACACAAACCCCCAAAGCACTATTCAGAGCAGGGACCAAGCAGTACAGAAGACCACGATGACATTTTATAGCTTCAAGTGTAATGAAACACAGCTCAGAAATATAAAGCATCAGGTTTCGGTTCAGTTTGCACCATCGTAAAGTTACTGAGAACAGAATCTGGTCTAGTATATACCAAATATAATTTGCAAAACCTGTTGTAATTTACAAATATCTCTAACATATGCTGCAAATAGTGGTAAGTCACACCTAGATGATATTAATTCACTTTTACTGTTTTGATTTTTAACTTTTTGTAACGAACAGCATATGCTGGCAGTGTAAGCATAAAAAAGTCCATTAGCGATAGGGCAATACGGACGAAGAAAAGAAGTTCTGTAAACCCCAAGGCCCCCAAATTGTGCTCAGCTTAAGAAAGAAGAAATTAGAATGTTGTAAAAATGGATTATTATAACAATTCCAGACAAGTAGCTACTTCAATCTCCACCAAGTCAACAGTAAAAAAAAAAAAAAAAAAAAAAAATCAAAGGAGTTTTCTGGAATATAAACAGTCTCTCTCTAGGAGCCAATTTGGATGCTTTTCTCTTAACATTTTGATCTCCCTCTTTTTACATTGTACTGTTCCGAGAGAACTGGAGATATGTTCCTGTGATGTGGCAAAGGCCTTCTGCAAGGTGAACAGGAGAAAAGGCAACTCTCCCCCCCCGCCAGTAAAGAAATACTGAGCTCTGAGATTTTGTTACTGCCTCTCTGACTGAATTTCAAGTATGCAGAAACAGTAACTTTTAAAATATTGGGGCTTTCTTCCTTTCAAATTTAAATCTCAGTCAAAACTTTTTAAAAAAATACAGTATAAATTGGTGTCAGCAATGTCATCAAGAAGTTTTTGAAGCGGCTGAGCTTTTAAATTGTTCATGTTTATTTTTATTTCAGCTGTAAATCTGCATACCTTGCAAACAATTTAAATGCTCCCCTTTCTGACAATAAAACCACAAAATGAACACAATACTACAATAAATAAAACAAGTTTAAAAGATATGCTGAGAAAGATTTCCTACATGTTTCATAAGGAAATGAAGTTGCCTCAGATCATGTGATGATACACATTTCATACGGACCTGGGAACTTCCATACTTGAATATATATATGAAAGAAATGGAGAGACAGAAACAAGTAGAATTGCTTGGTCAATTATCTATGTCAAATCGTTCTTGAGTAGGGTCCCTCTCCAAAAGGAGATCTGTGTCCATGCTAGGTAATGATTTAAATAAATTAATTACTTGTGCTTGCTCTTGTGAGGTGCTTTGTACAAAAGCTGTATTCTAATCTTAAAACAAACAGAAGTTGGACTTCATGGAAATGGTGCTAACGGTGCAATTTTTCTCCTGCTGTAGGCATACGGCTGCCATACAGACTAAGTAGATGTCTTGCATCCATTCTATTCTTGTCCACAGTAGGAAACGCTGTGAAGAAACAACTACAGATATGTTCTTTAAAAGAAGTGATATTTCAGGGTAAAGAACAAAAGATGGGCACTATTTCATTTAACAGATATCTTCTTTAGTTTTGACTTGATGACTTTTATGGGCTGAGGCAAGCAGTTCTCCCAGACAATAAAATAATGAACAAAAAAAGGCCATAAAAGGAAAAAAAACCAAAACAAAAAAAATCTTAATGCATCTATTAGATATGGTGTTCACATTTTCTTTTTAACCTACCCGACTATGGTCAACCACAGAGCCGTGCTTAGAACGATGCTGTGTGTCATTCTAAAGGATGCATGAGAAACATAAAAGTAGGAAAATACATGTGGTAAGACAAATGATTGACAAAGAGTCTCTGTTCTCTTTGTTAATTAGAAAAAAAAATTCCACTTAAAAGCCACTTTTCAAATTATATTCCTAATTTAAGTTCATTCTTAGAACGTCTTTGAACAAACCTATTGAGGTAAGTTGGCAACTTTTTTATTGGAAAACGTGTTAAAACGGTCTTGCCTATTAACTAGCCAATTAAACATTGCTGAGTCCTGTTTAAAGGCAGAGAGTTAATAGTAACACTTCTATCTGTCTCTGCATTTCATTATCAATGGCCCACACTGCCATCAGCTTTGGGGTCGAGAGGTGGACTCTTATCAGACCAGGCTGTGGTGGCTTAAGATGTTATCAGTTCTGGCTGTCTGCTTCGCTCTGTGTTGGAAGTCACCATTTCTGCAGCTTAAGCAGCAGATGGAGACTTGCTTGCTCCACATCTCAACCCAATGCATTTTATCTGTGATAGGAGCTAAAATGCCAAACTAGAAGTGTGGAGCCCAAAGCATGGGCACATATATTCTGCAGAAGCAACATGATAGCTTAGGAAGGAGGAAATAATTGCAGTTTCTTAAGTCCTTATCAGTTTTATCTCAGGCCACATGACTCAGAACTCATGCTGCAAACCCAGAGGCAAGTGTTTAATGGTGCTAAAATGCACACACAAATGAAGACTAAGCTCCCTATCAGGTCTTAACTTGCTTAGCATAGCATATGCTAAAATCTGCCCCCTTGTCTATACCAAACTTTTACTCTTCACCTTCCTTAGGAATGTGTACCTTTTAATGTTTCTATTAACTAGCCTTGGTAAAAATCTTACTGCAGACAAGACAGTTTTCACTTTTAACGTGTTACTTAATATGTTAGCTGACTGAAATAAACTATCTGGTATCTCTCCAGGAATAAAGCATGCATTAGGCATAACCAAGATTTTAGAATATCTATTAAATAAATAATATGTTAATATTTATAACAAGAAATGTGTTAATAAAACACATTAAATCCTAGTCTAGACAAAATCTGAGAGACATGCCAGTTTACCACAAATGCTACATATGTGGAATATCTAACCTACAGAGTGAATGTCACTTGCGTTCTTGAGGCTCCATTGCCTGTGGGTTCATGTCCCTTTGCCTGGCCTGATCTGTGCAAAGGGAGCCGAGGGGAACAGAACACACTGCCAAGGAAGCACCAACTATGGCCCCTTTGACCTCTCTGCAATGCTGTGATTGCTGTTCATTTTAAAACAATCAGATACTACTTGACTACACTGTCAGGAGCTACTGCCAGTGTGACACTTCATGCCCAAGCACGAGAGTCAACATGTTAAAAGCTCCCTAAGAAGGAACTATAACCTGAAAACCTATCATTACAATTTTGTCATTTACAATTTTATTTGTCCAAATAAAAATATTATGGATTGTTAACTCTGCTTGGCAAAATCCATAATAAAATACCTTCTGCCAGGCCCCAATTTAGCTTACAACAAGCATCACCTTTTAAATCTCCCAATCAACGTATTGCTTTTTTAATGGTTTGATCATAATGGCAGTGAATTGCTCGCCTGGAATCTGCTGCCTTTGTAGATGAAAATCTCCCACTGAACTAAAAGGGACAGTAAGCAATTCAATGGCAGTGTCAGACTATTTGCTTAATGGAATTAACTGCAGGTCTGGAAAAAACAGATGCATTTTTTTACTGAAAAGCGTTAGTTACAAGAGATGAAGCAATTAGAGAATCTCTCATGCCAACTACTTAGTTGGCAAACCAAAACCTTATTGAAGGCTGGAGCCAATACTTACCTTAAAGCTAAAAGAGTTTCTAGGAGAAGAGCTTGAACTGTACTGTTCAGTTTTTGCTAAGTTGCTATAATAATTGTCAACTTTGATACTAGCAGACTTGTTAGAAACTGGATCATCAGTTATTGGACAGATAAAATAATTGTCTTCATCATCACTATCAGCATCAAGATAATTTCCAGAATTCGCTGTAGTCGATCTAGCATTATCAATCCCTTCCATACGAAAAATAAGGTCCTCGTCTGCCATGTTTGTGGGAGGTCGGTTTAACTCCTGCAATGATTAAAACAGCCACTATTCCAACACACATGCAAATGGTGGGAAGAAGCTGGGTGGGAGAAAAAAAAAAAAGGGTTGTTATTAAAAGAACAAATGATGCACGAAACTGATGTCAGCACACTGTGAAAAGCGTTAGTTACAAGAGATGAAGCAATTAGAGAATCTCTCATGCCAACTACTTAGTTGGCAAACCAAAACCAAAACCTTGTTGAAGGCTGGAGCCAATACTTACCTTAAAGCTAAAAGAGTTTCTAGGAGAAGAGCTTGAACTGTACTGTTCAGTTTTTGCTAAGTTGCTATAATAATTGTCAACTTTGATACTAGCAGACTTGTTAGAAACTGGATCATCAGTTATTGGACAGATAAAATAATTGTCTTCATCATCACTATCAGCATCAAGATAATTTCCAGAATTCGCTGTAGTCGATCTAGCATTATCAATCCCTTCCATACGAAAAATAAGGTCCTCGTCTGCCATGTTTGTGGGAGGTCGGTTTAACTCCTGCAATGATTAAAACAGCCACTATTCCAACACACATGCAAATGGTGGGAAGAAGCTGGGTGGGAGAAAAAAAAAAAAGGGTTGTTATTAAAAGAACAAATGATGCACGAAACTGATGTCAGCACACTGGCAGAAAAAAAAAAATTTGCATATGTCTCTATAAAAATGATCCCCAAGTACCTACATGTGGTTTTGAACACCTCAGTGCTATATCTGGGTTTCCAGAAAGCACTCAGTTTTTAAATTGCTACAAGACTGAGAAAAGAAGATAACCAAGTATAGAATAATACTATAAAATCTGAGGGACTGCAAACACCACCTGCTACCTATGGCTGACATAGTTAACGCTCCTATCTCCTCCTCTGAATGTTTTACTTCTTCCTTATCTGAAATGCTGAGTTTCACAACACTGGTCTTAGAAACTCAAGGGAGTTTTACCTTGAACACCACAGTCAGGTTTTCAAATTTTTTCAGGACAAGCCTTCTCAAGGATAATGCATACAAAATTAATAGCCAAAGGAATTAGAGAGTATTATTGGGACAATATAGAAAATTGTCCCATCATTGCCAAGATTTAAGTTGGCTTTTAGCTCATATACAGCCAACGGTCCACAGTGCAAAGCATGCTGCTGAAAGTGCAAAGCACGTTGCCCAGGCTACCCAGGACGTCCTCGGGAGGACAAAGTACAAAAGAGGCCAAGAAAGGAAGCCTGCCTTTCCACTGCTGCCGCCCAAGTGCACTCACTAGTAGACTAGAGAGACAAAAGGACATATGTGTAAGGGGTACCTCAACCCTTCTGTCTTTTACATTCTGTGAAGGGATTTCACTTTGGACCAGTCTTGTGCCATCTAAACAATCCTCTTCCAACTCCAAAGACAGCAAATACGGCAGCCTGCTCAACAGCATCAAGTCTCTGAGCTGTGTTAGCTTTAAGCACAGAGCTTAAAGGAAAAAATATTCTCCCTGGTTAATAGTTCTTTTCCAAAGAGGTTAGAAAATTTGATTTTGTCACTGGTTATTTCAACTTTTTAGTAGCTTCCTGGATCCTAAGAGAACAGAATAGGTAGGGTTTGGCTTCTCCTGGGTCCTAGCTCCAAAGTAAACTAAGCAAATTGAAAGTAAAAGCAACAGTGTGAGGCAGACAGGTCATGGGTTTTTATTAAAATCTGATCCTATTTCTAAGCCCAGAAGGTGAGATTCTAGGTAAGTATTTCACTGAGGCATTCTGACACATTAAACAATGTTAGAGTAAACAATACGGGGAGTTCCATACAGGTATCAAAACTGCAGCTCTGCAAAGCCTCCCATCTTACTGTAACTTTTCCAAATTAGTGACAACAGTTTCAGGGAGGCAGAGCACAGACACTGCACAGCCTGACTGCTGCAATAGAGATGCGTTATAAAAAAAAGATAGGTGAATCATGGCAGTATTTTTCCTGGAGCTCAGGTTCCACCCCTGGAGATCTTACAAGAAGAACATGCCCAGCAGCCTCCACCCAAGAAACAGTTTATGATGATTCAGCAGAACTCAAACAGAAACAAACTCCTACAGTCCCAGGCTACGGAAGGCGAGTATTGTGTCTTTCACACATGACCAGCCATACAGATGCAAACAGTTTCCATTCTTCCGCATTTCACAGTCCAGAGCCACGGGCGGCAGGACACCAGCGCTGACATTCAGAGAGAAGAGTTTGCCAGTCTCTAGACCTATAAAGTCACCCCACAACACAGCTTCAGCAAGGAGGCCTCTGAAACACAAGAGGGCAAGTGGCCGTGACACCCCTGGAGTAGAGTAACATTGCACCTTCTGTGCAAGGGCTCATTTTAGTCCATCGTATATAATATATGCTGTCAAGCAGAAGGCTAGGGATACATGCCGGAGCAGGAAACTGGTGTTACCTGCCAGCATCCCTGCCTCCCGTTCAGCGTGGTGCCTTTGCTTCACAGTGCTTCTCTATAGCTCAGGCTCCCTTTCCACACTGCCAGGCTATTTCCCGGATACTCTTGCACTTAAAGCTCTTTTTTTCCTCTGAACTCTTGTCCTTTTCCTGCTGAGCCCGCTCACACGATCAAGTACATGTCTATGGAGGCTTCTAACTATTGAGGAAGGTATGAACAGCCAAAGTGGAACAGGTCCATGATTCATCTAACACCAGCTGCTTCAAAGAGCAAAGAAACCTTACAGAACAATAATCCATCCCTCTTCACATGTTTTTCTAATTGCTGGTAGTTGACATTTTCTGAAACTCCGTTCTCATTAATTGCACTAACTCTAGGTTTCAGAGTAATTTCCTGAAGTCTCTAACACCTGTCTTTGCCAAACTTAATGACTTTCTGTAATGACTTTAATACGCAATCACATCAAAAGCTCAGACCACACTAAAGAGAACACAGATTGAAGTGAAATGACCTTTCTGCCACACACTTTTGTTAATTGTTTCTTCTATCAAGATGTCATGGTTTAACGTCAGCCAGAAACTGAGCACCTCAGAGCCTCTCGCTCACTCTCCCTGCCCCGGTGGGATGGGGGAGAGAATCAGAAGAGTAAAAGCGAGAAAACTCGTGGGTTGAGATAAAGACAGTTTAATAATTGAAATAAAATAGTAATAATAATAACAACAGTAATAAAAGAATATACAAAGCAAGTGATGCACAATGCAACTGCTCACCAGCCGCTGACTGATGCCCAGCCAGTCCCCGAGCAGCGGCCCCCCCCAGCCAACTCCCCCCAGTTTATGTACTGAGCAGGAGGGGACATGGTATGGAATATCCAAGCTGTGCCCCCTCCCAGCTTCTTGTGCACCTCCAGCCTTCTCGGTCGGTAGAGCATGGGAAGCTGAAAAGTCCTTGACTAGTGTAAGCACTGCTTAGCAACAACTAAAACATCGGTGTGTTATCAACATTATTCTCATCCTAAATCCAAAACTCAGCACTGTACCAGCTACTAGGAAGAAAATTAACTCTACCCCAGCCAAAACCAGGACAGAGAATACAACAACATATAACTGATTCCACTATGACTGTATCCTGCTTGGAGCTCTCCAGGTCACTCCACTGTTTCCTGTTGCATTTTTATTCAATGCTGAGGTCAATCAGCAAATCTGATCACAACCAAGCTGACAGCAAAGAACAACCTGACTCATTAAAACTCACCAGGAGAATCTAATGCCTGGGCAAGAACCCAGTGGGCATCAACACAGCATAGCTTCTTCCACACCACAAGTACTGCGGTGAACTGGGGGCTGGTCTGTAGGGCAGCACCGTTGCGTTGAGGGTCCGTCATTCTCACCATTCGCCTCTTAGGGATTTACTTCAGACTAACTCTACTCTGGTCTCAGGGAGTGGATACCGCCAGTGGCTGTGCTATGTTCTCCAGTTAAATTTCATGCACAAGGAGTTTAGTTTGCAAGCTCTGAGACTGCTTTTCAACATGAATCAAAGTGCAATGAGCTGAGATGATCAGGAGAGTCGCTTCAGAAGCTCTTTTCCAATCAGAACAAAAAGCCAGCGTAGGCACACCCAGGGGATGGCTGGAAAGGGACAGACACACGAGGGACTGGGCTACTGCTTGATTTTACTGTACATTTTTCTCCTTAAAAATAATAAAGCAGATATACAAACCACACCATGACTCTTAAACCACTATCAGCACATAAGGGTATTTTCTTTGAAGCAGTCAGAAACCAGTAGCACAAGCACAAACTTCCAGGCCCACTCAAATTAATGGGAGTATTTTCTCCTCATTTTAGCTTTGATTATTCACATTGCTCTGCTGCATGAAAAACAGGAAGGGGTTAGATGAATGCAAAATAATCACCCAAATCTTCACACAGATTTAGCTGAGTTTAAACAAATATTTGCTGGCAAGCCTACTGCAGTGAATTTTGCTGGCTCTTCAAATGGGTACTGTGAATGTATTACGGTCAGGTCTGCCTGTTTTGTTCTTGATTAGAGGGCAGAAGTAGACTACACAAAGCAGCGTATCTTGATTTGTTGCACACGACATACAGCTTAAAATCCTTTTGGTCCTGGATCCCTGAAAACAACGATTTGAGCTTACAGAATATTGCACTTAATTTGTTCTCAATATTATGTATCACCCTTCCTTCCCAACATCCATCTAACGGAAGTATCATCTGAACCTCACCCAACCAGCTAAATCACCAATTTTCACCCAGCTAGCCTAAAAAGACAACTATAAAACAAGGTTTTCAGCTTTGCTTCACTGTTATTCTTCAGCTCTGTGCATATTCAACTTACTTTCTCCATGAAATAGTTCCAGATAAATACACTCCTACAGCAGTATTCATAGCTGCAGACCTTACACCACAGCTACTGAGAAGATGGTCACCACAGAAACAGCGCCTTAATGTATGGCAGCTTTCACCAGCAGCATTACGTTGTTGGTTACTGCCTTTCTGACAGTGGTAGCATTCCCACAGCTCAGCTAGCAACACAGGTAACATGAGAACTCCACCTGCATCAGGCAGCATCAGCTATAGAACCACTGCTGAAGGAGGTCTGAGCCAACTCAACTGACTTCGCACTGAAGCAGCTTTGGAGCATTCATATAATCTGCTCTTCTAGCGAAGACCACGTGACAGCCATCATTTGTGGAAAGAGGCAGTAGCGCATAACTGGAAGGGGAAGGTATCCTCAGTTGCCACTACCATTTTTACTGCAATCGTCTTGCTAGGGTCTAACGAGTATTTGAGAACATTAACCTCTACTGCTTGTCAGCACACACAAACAGCAGATGTAAAATGATGCTTCAAGTACGGGACTAACTCCAGGATATACTGTAGCTCTGGACTAGCCTCATTATCCACAACTGCTGTCCTGCGCTCATTTCTATTATTGCAGTCAAATACACATCAGCAGATCCATCAGGTCTGAGACCGTCCGAGAAGCAGCAGCAACAGGAATGCAGGTTTATGCAGCAGTGATTGCAAACATTCATGATTTCTGTGACTTACTCTGTAAATGGAACATCATCACACAAATCAGTTCGTATTTAAAGCTAATTGTGTTTATAAAACTGTCAGTTTTTCTTGGAACCGTACTTCTTGTAAAGGACTTGTGGTGTTTACTTTGGAAGTGTATTTACTAAAAAACAGCGTCACGTAACATGCTCTTTAAAACAGAATTCAATAACCAAACTTTTACACTCCACAAACACTGCTCTAAACCTCACATTTTATTTGACCAAAAGCCCTATAAAAAAGCCTGAGCTTCATCCCAAGGCTTATATTCTGTGCTTCTGCATCATGGCATAAAGCCGTGCTATCTAGGAACCCCCGCTTCTATTGCTGCTACGTTTTCGTCATTTAGTCTTTAACATCCACTACAGAAGCCTTCCTAGGGCTAAGCAGCAAAGAGAGTCAGGCTGCACAGAACCTAGCCTGCATTATCATACAACCTGTAATTTAAGCTACCCACTCCAATCTACTTTGAAAATGTATTCCATATTTTTAATCAACCTTGTACTATGTGATTCAAAATGAAGATAATCTGAAATACAGTCAGTTATTAAATCTACTCAAATCTCTTATTTTTTGGGCTTTTCCAATGCCTGTCTGAAGTATTTTTCTCTCTCTTGCTTTTATATCCAAGAGCCACAACACCAGGAGGGGCAGGTGAGTTGCAAGGACAATCCACTATGTTGCCAAGCACAGTGCATATGCAAACACAGATAAACAGAGGGGAAAATTCACATCACAGTGCTGGTAAAACATGACTTGTTTCTTGTAGGGTGTCTGTTGTTATGAAACACTCCTGGTTTGGCAAGACCTTGAGAAAGACCCCCACAGCTGCCTCAGCATTGAAACCTGCCTTAATGCATCCCAAAGAGCTGAGTGATAGGAATGCTCTACTCTAGTCAGCAAAAGAAGGGACAACTGGAGCATCTCCAGCTACTTCTTTGTGGCTGTTTCAGCTCAGACACAGCCCTCTGCACCACTTTAGCACAGGACAGGGGAACAGGAACTGCCCTAGAACAGAGGAAGTCATCCTACCTTCTCTGCAAAGAAGCATTAAAGCAAGAACGACCTCCTTCTCCCTGGTATAATACTAAATCCCTTTTGGTTTAATACCACATCAGCTAAAGCCATCTAGCAGAATACCTGTAACAGTAACAAGCAGTTTTTTCTTTTAAGAGAGAAATCACTTTTTTCAGATTAACATTCTTTTAAAATACAGATTTGAAATTTAACCTAAGCAACTATACAGGCTGTGCACCTTACAACGTATTGTTATCATCTTCATGAACTACAGATAAAAAGCTACATAACATGGTCCAGAACAACCCCACTGCTACATTAACATCCTGTAGCATGTTACAGAACTACTGCACTTTCCAAGCACCCAACCAACCCTTGTGAAGCAAACATCTAGTCTCATCTGCACCATGCACTGGCAAAAAACCAGTTTTAGTGAGTCAAGGTAACAGCTCTGATGAAAAACAAGATTAGAAAACCCAGAAATGTCTCAACTCACTGGCTACCTTTGACAAATCTGTTCTTACCAAGTACAGATCTTCTAACGAGAAGTGTTTACTTCAGGTTCCTTCCAGTGCATCACTACTGCAAACACCGTGGCACAAATCACATCCAGTTTGTCTGCAAGCACAGCTGGGATAATGCATTGCATTAGTCAGAGTGTTAGAGAGCAATGATGCAAAATTCATGAAGCGAATGGGAGAGTTTGTGCCAGCTCAGAATACGAAGCGTTTGGGACTCAAAAGCCTGTGCAAGGAAACACACTGCGGTTTCAAACATGCAAATGGCTTTTAGAGTTGCAAGCAGTAAAGCACAGAAATGACCCTTCTGAGTCAAGTCCACCCTTCTGCCAAACACGCAAACAAATACTATGTTAGTGGTAGCCAAAACACAAGGGTAAAAAAAGGACAGAAAAGGAACTTTCAAGAGAACTTTAAAATGTCCTTCCATCACCATTTTAATAGCTCCGTTGTTTCAACTGGCTTTAAATACACTGAACAATTAACTATCACTTACTTTTTGTAAGCATTTGCTCAGTACTCCACCTTGTTAATCAACCCCATGCTTTATGCATATTGAGGCATTTGAAAAATTATCCAAACATCAACAGTCCTAGAGGCCATTACAGGCTGTCACCATGTACTCAGCTAGCCCTTCACCCGCCTGCGGTCCACAGGCAGGCGGCTTCTGCCCCGCCGTCCACTCCACACACACCAGCACCGTCCTCCTCTTGGGCTGTTCTACAGTTAGAAACAGGATTTCGGGACTTTTAAACTGGGCGTGCCCTAAAATTAATTGCACTATCCTGGAAACATGTGTGGATGAAACTATTATCTCCAGGCGTAAATGCGGGAGTGTTGCCCAATACAAAAATATCAGGTTATTTTTAGGTCACCGCAGAAGCTCACGGCTTGGCCGCCGGCCTTTTACAGGCTCTAATCGCCAAGTTGTTCACCATTTTCTGTAATTAAAACC